TAGCAATTCCACTAATTATTTTGAACATCAAGTGAAGAGCACGAGGAACGGCAACAAAATAACCGGTATGGGCAACTCGAAATCCGAGAACCTAAGGATTTTGAAGAGACTTGTGCAGACAACCAGGGAAGAAAGGCCAGTTAAAGTGACGCTTCTCTATGAGATGTATACTGACTAGAAGAGTATGAATCACTGAATCTAAATTTATCTTTTTGATCTGGTTCGAGTATTCGAGCAAGGAGTGGTGAACGTTTTTATGGACAGAAATTCAATGCGTGATCAATGTATAATCAGTCGTTGACTATTCCTAGCGTTCCAAAACGGCAGAGTTAATTAGATATGTTTTAATTGAGAATACTCATTGTGAAGATTCAAAAATTATTCGAGGCGCATGGAAAGACTTGCGAAATTTTGTTTATGAAAAACTTCGTAACTCCTCACCCAAGAACCCGCAGCAAATAAGGAAGCTAGATTAGGAAAAAACGTTTCATACCCTTTAAGGCAGTATCCCAAGTCACATCAAAAGGCCATTTCGACTAGCCTTCCTTTCTTTGTCAGACCAACCTCTTTGAGATACGTAGGACCATACATTACAATGAACTGAGACATCATAAGCTCACCGAAAGCTGATAACCACACGGACCACATTATATGATTTGTCAAAATTTCCTGAAATCGTAGCTGTAGCCAATCTTTACTGCTTTTGATAGGAAAAGTGTTTTGTTGTGCGCAGTACGCTACCGTAATCTCGCGGTATCCAGCATTTTAGCACTCACTAACCTCTGTGCACCAAATCCACTTCCCAGCTTACAAAAAAAGAAAAGCTGTAAAAACGACGTATCTGCTGGTTTTGCATAATAAATATTGTTATAACCCAATCAAGAGGTCCAAAGTGCGCACAGGGTTACGGTAGCTTACGGTAATTGACAATATTTTACAATCTACAACACTTTACCTTAACTGGAGTTGACTCATGTTCTTTGATTTCTCCCTTGCCACGATGTATCTTTTCCAGCTCAATTTCTGTCATCGACGGGTGCTTTACCGGGTTATCTCTGAAAATATGCTGGTGAACAAACCAAAAAAAAATTTTTACAGCTCACTACCTGTAATAGTAGAACCAAGCAGTGAATAACACAGCGCTGAGCGCCGCATGAACATAGTAGACAGAAGGCCATCCAAATGATGATTCACATAGCTTAAAAAGATTTTGTGTTACTATCGAAAATTCATTCTCACGCATTTTACCTCACCAGCCACCGGCATAGTAAACATCACTGAAATTTGTGAGAACGATGACAACAGCGAAATGAAGAAACCATGTTGCTTCAGTGAAGCCCAGTTTACAACGATCAAGCCAATAGCAGCAAAATCAGCACCGAATGACACTCCCTAAATGTGATATCATTTTCCGAATGTTTTTTTTTCTGACCAGAAGCAGGAGAAAGTAGAGATCGCCGCCTGACTTTGTAATGTAAACGAGTGCACCGTAGATCTTTTTTAGCATGCACAAGTATTTTATGCGAAAATATAATCAGACGATCTAAGCTAGATTTCAGAGATCATTTCTTCCTACGATCAGAACTCTACTGTGCAAAAAAAGATTGTAAAGACGTTACTACCGTATTTGATCGAATATCTTATTGCTCGACTTTCCGTTGTTTAATCCCGATGCGGAACAAATTTTGTGCATTCATAAAGTAATAATTAGTTAAGTAAAAATGCACCTGAAAAAATCGTGCTACGAGAAGCCCGATCCACGTATGGGCTGCCATAAAGGGCATAACCACTGTAGCCACCGTTGAGATGACACCAGCAGTAAAAAATACTGATCTCGCCCCATATTTTTGGTAGAACCTGGAGATATATGCTTTAATCAACTATATCACCGGGTTTTAAAATTTTTCTTTGCTTACCAATGAAATGGCCAGGCGGCGACCAGTGTACCAACAGCTACTGCCCACATCAAATATGATTTTTCAGATTGTGAGTAGTCGTATGGGCCTCTATTCTCCAAATCAAGCGGATTTGTCTGCAAGAAGATAATATGAAACTTTTCATACTGATATGTAGCTGATTCTCATTACCTACCTCATTATACTCCCTACCCATACAGATCAAAGTGAAATTGAGGACTACCATATTTGAAGCTATCGAGGCAATACATGCCGATCCTAAAAAGACACGTTTATCATCACAAAAATTACCAGTAATAGGTATAGAGATGTTTTTTTTTCATTTTTTTTTGTTTTTTTCCCGATAGTCACTTAGGTTTAGTAGGTTCATAACCATAAGTTTTTTTTT